CAAGGAAAAATGAGAGAAATAAGAATACTGTGTTAAGCAAGGATAATTCAACAAGAATGTAGACTGGAAAGTCAAAAAGCCCTTTGACCTATTGGTATCAAGGGTCTAGATTGAAGCTCGATTATCTCTGGTGCTGTTCAATAAATATTGATGGCTTTACATAAATTCACTCAACAAACATACAGAGCAAGTATTCTGTGCTACGCAGTGTTAGTCACAGAGGATTCAAAGATGAGCACTCATCTTAGTCCTGAGGATTCACAGGTGGAGGGAGACGGCACAGAGATGCTCACACAACAGTGGGGTCATGTGGCAGAAACAGGAGAGCACTGGGGAGGGCAATAAAATCAGCTTGACCAGGGTATCAGAGAGGGCTTCCTGCAGAAGGAAATACAGTCTTATTTCATTATTTTTTATTAGAAAAATAACACATGCTCATTATAGTATATAAAAGGAAAACGAGCTATAAATAGCTGAACATGCTATTTTCAATATTCCCCACCCCCAACCCCATACCAAGCCCACTACACAGAGCTGGCTAATGTTTAAGAGTTTGGTGCGAGCCATTCCATTTTTCTTGTATATATATTTATACATACATAAATCCACTTAAAAAACAAAATATAGCCTGGCCGGGTTTGGCTCAGCGGTTGAGCATCAACCTAGGATCCAGGTGATCCGGGTTCGATTCCCAGTCAGGGCACATGCCCGGGTTGCGGGCTCCATCCCCAGTCGGGGGTGTGCAGCAGGCAGCTGATCAATGACTCTCTCATCATTGATGTTTCTATCTCTCTCTCTCTCCCTCTCCTTTCCTTTCTGTGAAATCAATAAAGATACATTTTAAAAATAATAAATAAAAATACACATTTGTCGATAATTTGCTATTTTTAAAAGCATATTGTGGTAACAAGTCTCAGAGTCCCCAAAGGTCTCCCGCTTGCTGGTATTCACACCCGCGGTTAACCCCTCACACACTGTACCAGGGTTGGTCCGTGTAACCAACAGAATACAGAAGAGATGTGTCACTCCTGAGATTCGGTTATAGAAGACTGAGGCTTCCATTTTGGGTGTCCTTTTTCTCTTGTATCAGTCTGGGAGAAGCCAGGTACCATGTTGCAGGGACACTTGGCCTATGGAGGGTCCCACATGGTATTTGAGGCCTGCTGACAACCATGTGAGTGACTCTGGAAGCTGATCCTTTAGCCCAGTTGAGCTTCGGATGTCCATAGACCCAGGTGACAGCTTATCTGCAATGTCATGAGAAAACCTTAGCCAGTACAACTCAGCTAAGCCACTACTGGATTCCTGACCTATAGAAACTGTATGAGAAATAGATGTTTAAGCTGCTAAATTTCAGTGATTTGTTATACAGAAATAGATAATATACGTATCAATAGAAACTTTGGCTATGTCAGGCCACATAGTTCTCCCTTATTCTTTAAGTGACTGCTCTACAGTATAACCTTCCTTCTGTAGACAGGTATCTAGGTTTTACCAAGCAACAATGTAGTGAATATCTTTGGACATTTGTACTTAAGTATTTCTGTAATTATTTGGGGGGGGTCGGAGGGGAGGGGAGGGGAGCACAGCACAGGCAGGGAATCCTAAATGGAACTGTTAAGTCAACTGGTAATTTTAACTCTTATGTATCAAATTGCCTTTTGAAAAAGTATATAACGGTGGTTTTACTTTAACCACTATTGGATTTTATCAATATTTTATGCTTGCCAAACAGATACGCAAAAATGGGATTTCATTTTAATTTGCATTTCTTTGTCATCAATAAGACAAAGTCTGGGTATCTTTTTGAAGTGTATTATTTGCATTTCTACATCTGTGAATCATCGTGAATAATGGTGTTGATAAAAGTGGACAAACTTTTACGTTTGGTTGTCTTCTTAGTGACTTTGAAGAGCTCTTTATCAATTCTGGGTAACCATTTATTAGATATGCTGCAAATATATCCTTCCAACATGTCTTCTTTCAGATTTGCTAATGGTGTATATTGTTTTAATTTTTGTATGTTGTCAATCTTTTTCTTTAGATATTTCACATGACTTTCAAATAATGCATAAGATTTAGCCAAGCCAAGAACAGGACAATCCAGGCTCATGGACGAGCTTGAGCAAAGACAGAAATGAAAACTTGCATTATTTACACGGGGAGTTTGTGGGCACACTGGTGTTGCTGAAGCACAAAGTGTGTGACAACGTGGAGAGGAGCCATGCTGCAGAGAGGGGCAGGGGCTCGCCCCGAAGGACCTTGGCTGTCTGCTTTAGTGAGCTTGAACTTTTTCTTGTAGGAAGTCCTATAAGCAGAGAAAGGCTTGACACCAAAATTGGGGTAATCAGATTGCATTTTAGATCCATCTCCAGCAGCTCTGTTGAAGAGGATGGCTCTGAGGAGACAGAACAAGAAACAGATGCATCACTTAGGAAGCGACTGCGATCATCTAGATTCTAGAGAAAAGCTCATGATGACGTGAACTGGGCAGTGGTGGTTGGATGGAGGGGAAGAGACAGAATGGAGAAGTATTTAGGGGTAAAAGGGACAGGCCTTAGTGACCTATTTGATGTGTCTTGGAGTGGAGAAGTGGGGAGAAAGGGAAGGAACAAGGATGGCATTTTGGTCTTTAGCTGAGCACCCTGTGGGCAGTATGGACAACAAAGGAAAAGCATGTGCAGGAAGAACATGAGTGCAAAGGCCTGCAGGGAACCAGGTGGAGAAGGCAGGAGGCACAGATTTGGAAGTATCCAGTAACATGTGGAAGTAAAAAACATTTCAGTAGATTATCTCTTCCAAGAAGAGCCCTGTTAAGTAAGAAATTAATGAGTTCATTTTTGGAACAGCCAAATCAGAGCTAAGATACGCAGTTTTTAAAGTGCCAAAGCAGGTGACAGACCTTGGGAGAGTCATTCCAGACCCAGGGTCAGCTTCTCTCTTCCTGACTCGGAAACTCAAATTTGTCAGTTCTCTTGGGAATGATCACGATCTGGTCACCAGGGAGTCCCACATCTTTACTATTTCTCAGTGGGACAATTTCTGTTATTCTGAGGAAAAGGCCATGTGGCAGAAACATGGGTTTGGATCCAGTCATAGCAGATTTCAAATTCCAGCTCCACATTTCCTGGGTATTATGACTCCTGAGAGTTTCTTTGTTTCCTTGTCTGGAAAACTGGGAGGGACATTATAAAGATGAAAAGGGAAAACATACAGAAAGCATCTCACATAGCACCCAGATCACAGAAGATGCTCAGTGACCCGGGTCGCCTTCTCCTGCACTCACTCTTCAGTGCTGTGCTGTCACCGCAGGTGCAGGAGGAGCCTGGGGAGGCAGACGGGGTGAAAGCTAAGAGCTCAGTAGCCAGGAGACAAATGCATTTTCCCAGGCTAGAGGGAATGACCCTTGTCCTCTTAAAATTCAGAGGCTGCTTGGCTTGTGAACTACCAAAAATTCAAAAATCTTGCTCAGTCTCTTTTCGGAGAGAATCCAGCTCCTTTCCTTCTAATTTTCCAATCTAGTTTTTCCAGTCCTATCTCTAGGGAACCCACTGGACAAATGTTCATCCACACATGTTTATACTGAGAGACTCCCAAGAACCTGAGTGAAGTATTATGAAGTTAATATTCTAAACATCTCTAACATCCCCAAAACAAAGAGGAAAAATAAATCAAGATGTTTCTAGATCACAAATACTTGTCTCAAAAGATACACAGGTTATTTTAATAAAACCTCTTGCATTCTAAAAGGAAAATAAGTCACTTCAATTAATTATAAGTATGTGGGCTAGGTATCTTTACAGGTCTATTATAAATTCTGCTGATACAGAGAACACCCACTGTGAACCGCGTTTATTGAACTGCACTTGGTGTGATGCCATTAGTTCCTGGAGAGAAGCAACAAGCAGCAGCTCTATGAATCTCAGTCATGACAGCTCTGAGGATATGTTTGAGTTCCTGTTCCTTACAATACATTCATGTTAAGCAGTGTCCTCTTGATGGGGCTTCTCGAAAACAATTAGTATTGATTTGTCTAAGCACTGAAAAGAGCTGTACTTTCCCTGAGTCCTTTCATTCATTTAATGAATATTTATTGAGCACCTTCTATGTGCTAGGTATATTAGGGCAGAGCCCAGGACTTGGACAAAGTTCTTGACCTCAGGCCTTTGGTATTAAATTGTGTACTTAACCAGGCTTCCTATTTATGCTGCCTGTAGCAACTTTCTAGGACTCTGAGGCGTATATTTTCAAGTCCCACTCCTGGCTCCACTTTGTCTCCTTTTATTCTGTCTTTTATGTGGTCTTGTTTTTTCTTTATTTTGCAATATAAGCTGTCTTAATTTTTTTTCTGGAATAAGTAAACAAAGTAATACATAAATTATATAATATGCATATAATTAATTTTTCTTCTGAGTACTACATTGTTCTCTTGAAAAATTCTCAAAAAATTATTAAAAACTTAATGACAATTTTTGCCATTTATAACACATTTTATTTTAATATTATATAAAAATATAAATGTTATGCAAAGTTGTTTGTTTTACTAAGTCTTCCCTTTAACCTACTTTTTTTCCAGGTCATCAACACCTAAGGAAGGTTTGGAGCATTATTTAGGGCTTGTTTCCAGGGTAATTGCTTGAAACGATAGTAGGACTAAGACTTTTTGCCCAGTAATCTGTTTTGTTTTGTTTTAACACTGATAGTAGAGAAGCAGGAAGAGAGAAATATAGGGTCATGAATACAATATCTAAAAAGATTTGCAGAGAGAAAAAAAGGCTCAGCTCATAGCATTCCATGTTTTTAAAGCATGGAAACGGTCCTTGAGAGAACCATTCATTCTATGTGTCAAGCACATAGTAGATGCACAATAAATAACTGCTAAATAAATTAAATCTATATTAGAGCCCTGTTACTAAATCAAAGATATATCTACATTACATATAGTATTGTGTTTATATATATACTATATTAGAGAAAGCAATCTTGCTGAGATCATGTCATAAAATGATCAAGAGGTGCAATTTATTTTCATTTTTATGAACAACAGTAATTATATTTCACATCAAAAATGACAAATTAAAAATAAAATATATCCCTACCTCTATAATCTATGAATCGCCCATATTTTCATCCATTTTATAACACACAGGTTAGATTTTAATAGATACTGTAAGATATACCATAACATCAATTATTCCTTAGAATTTTAAGAAATATGGCTTATGTGTCAGGGTTAAATGGTGAGCCAAAGTCTTTATCAGCTGTCTCAAAACAAGTTCAGGGTAAATTTTTAGAATTTGAAATCTGAATAGCACATAAAAGCATAATGACTATGTTATCAATAGTTAATTTATTTCCTGTTAAGTAGTTCTTCAGCCAATGTTCTTTGTTTCTGACCAGAGTAGTGTGTTTCAAGCAGGCACAGTAAGACAGACAGGATCGTATATCTTTATTGTTTCATCCCAAGCACAGTCAACCACCTAGAAAACAAGAAGGAAATAAGAGGAAACATAATTTACAGAAATTCAAAAATGACAGCAAAAGCCTAAGTCATTTAGAGTATAGCAGATCATCCACGAGTAAACATATCTTTAAATAGCAGGAATACACGGTATGTTTTTGATACAGTCCATTTCCCTTTCTAAGACACACTTCAGGGCTTGTTTCCAGCTGACTAAAGTTGCCTATAAGCATTTTCCCCTACCCCACTCTACCCCACCCCAGAGCTACATAATTTCCTATACCTCCTGAGATAAATGTCAGCAAGAAATACTCAACTGTGAACAAAGGCACTGTGCTAGATGTTGTGGGGGTGGAATGGAGATAAAGCACAGCTCTTGACTTCAAAGAATGGCTCATTCAAGACTGAAAGTGAAAAATGCTCTAATAGAGACTTTCCTAGAAGGAACTATTTGAATCCAACTGTGAAGTCAGAAGACTTCACAAATGCTGAGGCATTCACACTGGCCCTCTTTTGGGCCAGACATGAGACACAAGGGCATTCAAGTCTAAAAAGCCATATGAAAACATGAATGGAAGAAAGTCCATGGTGCTCAGGAACTGTGTTAAAAATTTGGTGAGTGTAGCAATGTCTCAGGGTATAAGATTAATATATAAAAATATCAATTTTGTATTTCTATATACTAGCAAAACAACATTTTTTTAATAAATTTTAAAATCTATGTACAATAGCACCAAATAACAAAATACTTAGTAACACATTTAACAAAAGATATGCAAAATGTCTACGCTAAAAACTAAAACATTGCTGAGGGAAATTTTAAAAGGCCTAAATAAATGGGGAAGTATATATACCATACTCTTGGGTTCAATTTTGTTACAAACTTAATTCTCCCCAAAATAATTTATAATTCATAATCCTAGTAGGCCTTTTAATAAAAATGAACAAGGTGATTTTTAAAGTTTATGTAGAAATGCAGAAGACTTAGAATAGCCAAAAGAATCTTGAAAAATAACAAAGTTGTACTGCTTACACTACCTAACTCAAGTCTTACTACAGTAACCAAGACAGTGCAATACTGATATAAGGACATATAAGTAGATCAAAGGAACTGAACAGAATTCAGAAATAAACCCAAACTTGGACAACGGCTTTCAACAAAGTGTACCAAAACAATTCAATAGGGCAAAAAAAGTCTTTTCAACAAAGGGTGCTAGAATTGGAGATCCATATGGGAAAAAATGAACCTCAACTCCAACTTCAAACCATAGACAAAAATTAATTTGAGGTGGATGGGCCATAGTCCCAAATATATAAGCTAAAGGTACAAAGCTTTTAGAAGAACATGAGAGAATATATTCTCAATCTGAAAGTATGTAAAGTTTTCTTAGGACACAGAAAGCTATAACCAAAAAGTTTGGTAACTTAGACTCAATCAAAAATAAAACTTTTGCTCATTAAGACACTATTATGAAAATGAATAGGCAAGCCACAGAGTGGAGAAAATATTCAAGAGCATCTGACAAAGAACTTGTATCTAGAATATATGATGAACTATAACTCAGTAATCAAAAGACAACCCTATCAGAAATGGGCAAAAGACTTCATAGTCCCTGTAATACTCAGCTGTACTTATTTACCGGCACGTGTGTCTCTGCTCTTTGAGGGCATGGACTATGTCTTCCTATGACATAACAATGTCTCAATAAATACTAGTTCACAGAATGTACTTTATAGATTAAGACCTCAGAGATTACCTTTTTTCTCATGTTCACACTAGAGTAGCAAAGCTGGAACCAGAGCCTAAATCTGTTGAATCTGTCTCCTAAAAATAAGGCCTCCTAAAAGGCAAACTAACATTCATTATTTGCCTAATCCTGCAGTTAGGATTATATCCTGAAGTTTTAAGTTTCTATACCATGGGCCACAAAGATCATTATATTAATTTCCCCATTTCATATATGTGTGTTTTTTCAAGTGCTGGTCTTTCTGTATATTAAGTGTCAAGTCTTATGGAGAAGAGAATCAGAGAAGACAGACTTAGGCTTCTAACATAAAGTTTTCATAAACTTATGTTTCTGAATCCTTACTCAGCACTCTTCAATCCAGCTTCTTATTTACTCAGAACTTGTAACTAACAAATGTGAAGGCCACTGAATCAGTAAACATTCATAAACCTGTATTTAAATTAACTGGTAAAACTGCAATGACAGAGAACTGTGAAGTGATTCAAATGAATGTAAATAATATTTCCCCATTAACTAACTTAATTATTTCTGAATGCAAATATTATTAAATGTTATTGAATGCAAATAATATTTCTCCATTAACTAACTTACTATTTCTCCATTAACTAACTCCATTAATTAAACTCCATCAAATTCTATAAGTTTTTAAAAGCTTACAATAAAAATGCTAATAAGGTAAGAAAAAAAAGCACTTTACTAAACAAAGAGGTTCCAGGTTCTCCAAGGAAGGCACCATACGGACCACCAGATAAGAAAAGATGGCTGTGTGATCCCCAGGGGGAGGGGAGGGCTCTCATTAATTACCATCACTCCCAATGGCCTCTGGAGGCACTGCTTCCCCCTTCATTCTATGACTGAGTAAACACAGGGCCCCTTCTGGTCCCCTTCTACGCATCTGAGACCACACTGAAATGCATTAGAAAAAGACTGCTAAAATTAAGGGTTAACAAAAAACAAAGATAAATAAATAAGGAAAGTGACTGACATGGAAATAAATAATCTGCTTTACAGGATGAGATCCACTCATTCTTTAGCTTGTCAAATAAAGAAAGGAATCTTGCTCAGCTCCCATCCTGCTTCTTCCAGACAAAAGCCATTTTTCCCTCCCATCCCCAGGAACACACTCCTGGCCAGAAGACTCAAGGCCAGACTCAGGATAGCGATAATAGGATATCTCCTTTCTCATCTACTGAAGATCTTCTTTCTCAGTTTCAGTCACCTACATAAGGACTCACTTCTTTGCCCATTACCTTGCTGTCAGGAAAAACTGTAAAAGATTGCAATCAGCAAAAAAGATTGGGAGGTGTTCTTTCAGTGGAATGCTGGCATTGTCCTAGGGCCCCACAGGGTTACCTGATTCTATAGGGGTCTGTGCCTTTCACTGTCTCTGACTGGATTATTTTACAACTCCCAAAGCTATAGAAAACTGATAGTAATCAAATGATTCTCATCCATTAAAGTTGCAAATGAATGTCCCATGAAGATGCAGTTGATGTCTCCCTCGTTCCCCAAGAGATGATTCCAAACACTGAATTTTATTGCGCTGTGGATATTGACTAGTTTTTTACCTATTGCTAAATTCATTCCAGCATTCAGTGACTACCTATATGTGTCTATTCCTTGGTTCCTTTGACCTGGTTATAAAATCTTTCACGAGTTACATAAAATCTTTGACACATGCTCACACTATATGAGTCATGTTTGCCATTTTGAAAATTATCCTTTAACATGGCCAAATGCAGGGATACAGCTTATTTGCCTCAACAGGGTAACAATTATTTCTATGAAGCATAATAACCCTTGCTTCCTCATAGGAGATAACACAGTAACAGAAAAGCCATTTCATTAAAAGAACAAACACAAAATGCGGAGAAGGGGCAGGTAATTATACTGGAAAAAGAGACTAAGAAGAATGGCTAAAATTAGACATGAAATTGAGCTTTGCACCTCCTGGCAGCAAAGGTAAAAACATCAAACAATTAGAGAAGATATGCACATATCATAATTTATCATTTCATCAGGGGAGATAAAGCTTTGCCCAGTACTTGACTATAGGAGAAATATACAATATTCTTCCATTACAAAAATCATTCATTGCCAAAAGAATGGTTTTACAGGAGATACAAAGTCATTCTTCAGATGGCAGAATTTCTACTTAAACACATGAGAAATTTTTATTAATCATATTTAAGTTATAGTTAATAACAATATTTTTATTTTATTGGCGATTTCAATCTTGTTTCATTTTAAATGGGCTGAAGCGGTCTATAGATGAACCCACAGGACCAAATAAAGTAAATATAGAATTTTTTTAAAAAATCTGTCCTAAAGGGAGCAAAAACTTTCAGGCATCAGAGCTGAGCATATTACAACATTTGCACAATAAGTTAGGCTCTGTGCTGTATGAAAACAAAGGGGAAAATGAAAGTATGCTGGGTAATACAACTTCTGTTTTCTAACAACATTCACATATGGAATGTAAACACTTTTGTACAGCTAAACCTGGATAGAACTTTTTTATAAAGTCAGCAATTATATATCTTGATCAAATCTGTATTGGTTGTGACTTGCATATAGTAAACTTTTAGTAAATGCTTGTTGAATGAATAAATTAATGAAACCATGTATGAGCAGTGGTTTCCTCCTCCAAAGATTTTGTTGAGTAGAGCCTTACACATAGTAAAGAGCACGTAACCAGGTGTGAGGTCAAAAATCCAGGTAAAGGCAACAAGTTTCATGGGATTTGGGGGATATATGGGATTTTTGAGTGTCATGAATATTATTTAGATAATTTTCATAGGGAGTTTCTTTTATGTCTCAGGAGCTGTTCGTCAAATATTTCTCTGCACTACAAAGCTACCTAAAACATAATTCATATATACATACATACTTATATTCACCCATTTATTCAACAGATATTTATTGAGCTCCTCCTCTGTGTCAGAAGTATGCTGAGGATACTACAGTAAACAAGATGGTCCAGGTCTCTGTCCCCACAGATCTGGAGTCCAGCAGAGGGATAGGTAAGTAAACAGACTCCTACAATGTAGATGATATGGACAATGACTGGGGAATTATGAGGTCCAGTAGATGTGTAACCAAATGTGAGGAAAGTGCATGCTTTCAAGAGGAAGTATGACCTAAACTGTGGTTCAAAAGAGAACATGCCTTAGCCAGAGAGTGTTTATTGTTGTTATTGTTGGTGGGGTGGAGACATGATTGAGAGAAGGAAAGTGTTCTAGGCAGTGGAACAAATAAGAATAAATGCAGA